ACCTCCTCTACTGGCTCACCCACCCTACTGGTTGGGGTAACTTTTCCAATTTAATTTTCATATTTTGATCAATACATAGGGTGCTGAAAGTCTTCAGTACGAGAAGTTCCAATTACAAGCAGGGAGAAAACAGTAAAGGACTGAATCCTGATTAATGTTGAGGATGATTCATTCCCTTCTAATTTCCCTACCTTAATTGCTTATCCTTGACAGATACGCGTATTTCATGTACAACGTGCAGGCTTGTCAATGTCTTTTACTAATACTCCATTTGAATATTAAGTCGAGTAGTAGTATAAGACACTAAAGAAGTCTGCACAAAAATGAGGCGCCGCTCGTGTGAGGGGCTTGGCTCTTGCTAACATTAGTTTTTATTTTTATTTTTGACGTAGGACTACGTCTTTGTGGACTATACTGGGGAGCAAATCAAAAAATGGTGTGCCGAAATAGTGTCAGGTTTTAAACGCTTATAACTTAACCATTTGTTGATGGGTTTCTATTATGTGCACACTATTTGGTTCAGATTGGATGTAAGATTTGTTTGGTATAAATATTATAGTAATTTATCATAAGTAAACTAATGAAAATTTATCAAATTGTATGACCACAATCAACCAAAACTATCGCGAGAACAGAGAGAGAGACGAACCGATTGTGAGGTTATTAAAGAACTTACCTGTAGTTCTTCTGTGGATATGGCGGTTGTCACATCGTTAGACATTGTACACGGTTGATGATACTAACTTAAAATTGAGTAAATATTTAATACCGTTGAACCACGTTTAGCTTCAATTGCTCAAATTGTATTTAAACGGCGCTCACTTTGAATTTGTTTACCGGGTACCCCTACAGTGCCCAATGGCACTACGCAATGCAATGCAATTTTGAGTTGAATTCGACAGGTACTGAGTTACTTTTATCGGCCGTGTAGACTTATATCCTTGATTTTCGTCATAGGTCAAGAAGAAGCTACAAAGTATGTGTTTGACTCGTAAAACCTGTCAATTTCACTCTCAGAACGTCACAATTAGCGATTTTATGATTCTGCTTCTCTGAAAGGAAATATATCCTCACAGTTCGTTAACACGGTTCATTGAGGTTAGAACGGTCAGTACATAATCTCATTACCGAAAGACGCGATATCACGGTGGGACGAATCAATGGACATCACATACCGGCGTCTTCTAGGAACGGAACTCAGACTGTCTAAGGATTCGGACCCATGGACCGGGGACCAATGTCTTTACTTCCGTGATCAGAGATTGAACCCAGGCCCTATGGGGTCGACTTGATGCCCGGCACCGATACACTTAGGTCTCAGTTTTACATTCCAAGCTTCAATACTGTCACACCACTGACCAAACAATATGTCCTGTCAGTGATTGTCACTCAGTTTGACTGACCCTCTTTCCATTCCATTCCATTTGATATTAATGGCTTGCTTAAGTCAACATCTCAACTGGATAGAAGGTTACAGTTAACACGATTTATTTTGTAATGGACAGCTCAGTTCTGAGCCGGCGCCGGTGGTGTAGTGGTAAGCGTGACTGCTTTCTCACACCCCAATGGGTCTGGGTTCAATCCCAGCCGAGGTCGGTGGGATTTTTCTGAGGCATAAAAATCTCTGGTCACGTCTTCCTTCGGAAGGGAAGTAAAGCCGTTGGTCCCGGCCCATGTGTGTTTGAATGGGTGCGATATCCTACGCAGATGTGGAAGCTGCCTTCCTGCACATTCGATTGCCGTCAATGGATTGCAATCGATGTCCGTCGGTGATTGGCACTAGATTGCGGAACAGAGACCGACGTTAAATAAAAGAATGAATGAATGAAGCTCAGTTCTGAATTCTTACACCCGGCAGCGCGACCATATGATTTAACTTATAATTATTTGCTTTATCCTGAAATCTCAACTAGATAGATGGTTGCTGTTTTTAGCAAAGTTGACCATATTTATAAAACCTATTGCAAAGCGGCCAGTTTAGTTGGAAATATCTTCACCAGCCGGCTCTAGTGTACGAAGTGACTTGCTGCCTTTGCTTGGTTGAGTTTTTTAGATGCACAAGGCCTATTGGATGGTGCACAGCTTAGTTCAGAATTCTTTCACCAGAGAAGTAAGTGTGCCTTTGACACAATGATTCTTTAAATTGAAATTTGGATAAGTTCTTCTTATTCTTTAGTTCTGTCTTCAACTTTAATTTCATCTGCTGTTTTTGACTGACGTCGTTGTGAAATGTATCGTATTGGCTTGTAATGTATTGATTTGTCAGTATACGATTTGCAACTTTCATGGAAAAAACAGCGAAAGAAAGTCGGACAAAGACTTATTAAAATGGTACTTTAATATTTGCAAATTTAAATACAGCCCTATGCCTTGTATAAACGAGTAGAGATCAGTTCAAACTCACAAAAATATGTTAAAATCAAATAAATTAATTGATTTCCAATTTATTGAATTGCAGCGTTCGCTATTTGTTAGCTTTTTGTTTTAACACAGATATAGGGCAAACTCAAATGAGATTCAATTGATCTGTCATAATTCTACAACATCAAAATATAATAATATGGTGGATTTTAAACTGGTTGGTACATGAAATGCATTTTAATAAGAGGATTTTCAGTATTTTCACTCCGGTTACAGTAAATACACATTATTCAGTAGGTACCTGAAAATTGGATGAACATGTTTGAAACCTACATAATTATGAATGGGATAGTAACTAATTTTTGAAATATGAAAATTGAATTCAATCAAAGATATTGAATATCGCCTAGTTTAAAAACTATTTATGGTAGAATAACATTAATACATCAATAAATTTGTAATTATTATTAAATTGAACAAAAAAAAAACAATCTCGTAATCCTACGCCAATAATGCGGTCATGCTTGGGCCATAACCCTTAACTATTTGTTACATCTCAAAATGTGACCAAATTTAGTGCAACCTTTTTCAATAAATCAGAAAAAAAATCAAGAAAAATATGGAGGCTAATCGATACAATTAACATTGAGTAAAAGCAGAATGTTATTAAGTGTGATGTGATTTGAGTATCACATCAACACATTCCTAACCATTCCTCCTCGGAAGCGGATGGTGCTTATACACAGTAAAAAATAAATTTTAATATTACATCCAAGAGGATGCACTTCAATCATGTCGAAAATTTCATGTAATTTTTATGACCACATAAATAAACAAATGCAGTAAAAGCAGCGTAATGTCAGTTCATGCATTGTATCAATGATAATTTTGTCCTTTTTAGCAAGTAATATTACACCATATTTTCGACATGATTGTAGTGCATACACTTTGACGTGATATCAATATTATTTTTTTGCTGTGTGGAGACTCAATACACAACTATAGGAACCTAACGCTTCCAACGTACCGCAACTATAAGAGCGTTTACCCTACACCATATTATTATCACGATTGAAGTGCATCCACTTTGATGTGATATCAACATATTTTTTTTTGCTGTGTATGCATTGCCTATTATAAAGTTCGAGATCACCAGTTTTTACACATTGAAGATGATAGCTAGTCCCAAGCATCATTGGTTGGTTCTTTGTCTAGTTACAAGTGATCTGGCAATAACGGAGTCAATCATGCTCGTGCTCATGCTCATTAGACGGGGAATCTAAAATCTAAAAAAAAAACTGTCTACGTAGTTTATGGACAGCCCCTAAATTCCAATGATCGATTTCTGCAGTATGATATGCATCTTCTTTTTATTATTATTCATTATACAGTCAATTCTTCATATCTGGATATTGAAGTGAAAAAAATGGTCACAAATCGAGATACATCGAGATATGGAGGGACTGTATTCACTTCAACACTCTTGGGTCATTCGTTTTCTATGAATGCATGTATCGGGGGCATCTTAAATTTACGTTTTTGTCCATATCTCCGGCACCAAATGGCCGATTAGAAATGCAGTTCAATAGCATTATATTTGAGCCAGAAATACACAAACTGAAATTTGTTCCACTCTAATCGGTTCAGCCATCGCTGAAAAATCGAGTGAGTTACACAGTAAAATTCCGATATCATCGAGCTGAGCCGATTGCTACATGACACTTGTCCCTCCGGGCCTTAGATCGAAAATATTTTTTCAAGTGATATTATAACCTTTCGGTACTAGGGTAAACGCTCCTATAGTTGCGGTACGTTAGAAGCGTTAGGTTCCTATAGTTGTGTATTGAGTCTCCATACACAACTATAGGAACCTAACGCTTCTAACGTACCGCTACTATAGGAGCGTTTACCCTATTCGGTGTACGCGATGATAATCATAAACTTGTTTTTTTTTTAAGAATATGCATGGATCAATTATAACCACAATGTTCATAATGATCATATTTATCATGAAAAAACACCTCTTTCGAAAGTTAAATAATTTTCTCCATTAACAACGATAGACATTGCCTGGACTGCTTTAAAGTTATCACACTATGGATTTGCTTGAAAAGGGTGTGTTTGTGTGTTTTGGAGGAAGACAATCCCTCGTTACAGTATCTTTTTCAGGAAATGTCCAATAAATAAAACCACATTAAGGAACAACGAATAAAAGCATCGCCAGAAGCCTCAATCTAAACGAATCAAATGATACTTCCTTACCGCGGTCGTACCCGCAATCGGTAGTGGGTGTATCACTTTGCATTAGGAATGCGTCGTGTGTAGACAAAACAACCACCAAAGACCAACAAATTACATAAGCTCATAAAGTTATGACCGTGTGAAGCTGTTGAGATCTTTTATCCGTGAAACTTGTTCGTTATTATTCGTGATTCTCACGTTCCTTGTGTTGGCACTACATGTATACATGGACTTGGGTATTTCTCGTTCGAACAAAACAACGGTAGAAAAATGCCAATAATCCCAGTCAGAATACACAAGTAGTATCAAATGTATGGAAATCCCTTATCACTATTTTGGAAAAGGCAGTCAGTTCTTGATATTGTATAATAACATGATTTTTACTCTTGTTCTTTCAGATTGCGGTGACGACGATTTCACATGCAGTAATGGAGATTGTATCACAGCTGAGCAGCAATGCGATGGCCATGAGGATTGTGATCATGGCGAAGATGAGCTGCATTGTTCAAGTGAGTTTCCGATCCAAATCTTCATTGTATTTGTCATTCACGTGTTATAAAACTATTCCGTCATTGGTGCACATTTTCTGTTTTCACATAACATAAATTGGCATCATTCGAATCAAAAATCAAAATTAACTATGCACTTTCTAATTGGGTACTTAAATTCATTGCATGCCTGTACACTAGAACGAGAATGTGCATCAAGTGAATTCCAATGTAACGACGGCCGTTGCATATCGAAAGAAAATGTATGCGATGGAATCAAACATTGCCATGATGAAGAAGACGAGGATTGTGAGTTCGAAGGTATATAACAATATTTTTATCAAAATTTATTCTAAACATAACCTCCCTAAAAAATGGGTACTAGTAGTGATATTCCAATTTCAGTGTAAATACAATTTAACACAAATACAGCGTTGTAACGGCTGGATGAGTTTGACCGAAAGGAACTCACAAATCCCGAAAATTTTATCGATTTGACATTACGGTAATCTTTCCGGTTTCGACTGTTGTTGATTATTTGGTGCATGTAGCTTCGGCATTCAGCCTAATAAAATAGCGTTGATTACCATTACGTTTTGGTCCTGGCATGGAACCTTCATCAGGGCTTGGCACTAGGAACTAACTGCTTTCCTCCTCAATCCATATCTACCTCAAAGAAACGTAGTATGTAATCGAATACACACTACAAAAAAAATCAGTTTTTATGCAAAATAGCTTAAAATAACAACAATGAAATAGATTAACGTGCTACAACCTGAAGGAATTCTCTAGTGAATGATTTTAAAGTTCCAACATCGATCGTTAATATCAACCTGAAATCGACAACGCAAATTTCGAATACCTTGTAAACAACCACAAGCCTCTGAACTGCCACAAAAGTGAGGTTAAATCTTCCCGTGATACAGGGTTGCATCGATTCACTTGTTTAAAAAAAATTATTTGGCAATTTGATTGATTCATTAAATGTTATACTGATAGTTTGTATATTAAGTTACAACAAGAGGTGGAAAAGTATGTGTTTGACTCATAAAACCTGTTCCGCTTTCAGAGCGTCACAATTAGCGATTTTCATGAATCGTAAAATCGCTGATTTGATGTTCTGTTAGCGAAAATATCCTCACTTGCCGGAGAAAACATGCTGTGAGGATATCTTCGTTAACACGGTTCAACAAGGTTCGAACGGACGTCTCATTATCGACGGATGAAGACGCCATCGAATGAATGAAGGTATATCGCATGCCGGCGTCTTCTACGAACGGAACACAGACTGATGTCGCTCCTTGAACAGTACAACGCGTTTATGGAAACTACACCAAGCTTGGTCACAAGCGGCGCCAGTGGTGTATTGGTAAGCGTGATTGCCTCTCACCCCAGCAGGCCTGGGTTCAATCCCAGTCGGTGCCGCCAAGATGTTCTGAGGCATAACATCTTTTATCACGCCTTCCTTCGGAAGGGAAGTAAAGCCGTTGGTTCATGGTTTGATGGGTCTATAGGTAGGGTCTTGGTATGGGAGCTGCCTCCCTGGCGTCGGTAGCATTGGTGCTCAGCACGGAAAACAAGATCGACGGAAAACAAATCAAGGAAAAAAAAAGCTTGGTCACATGCGTGAGGTGAAGAATACGAATATGGAGTTGTTTAAACGATGCTACCTCCCACACCATCCAGTCATCAAGAAGGCAAGTACCACTACCAAGGTTAGAATGGTTTTCGACGCATCGTGCAAGACGTCAAGCGGAGTGTCAGTCAAAGACGTGCTAATGACAGAGGCAGTTGTTCAGGAGGACCTTCGGCACATTATACTCCGCAGTTGGATACAACAGATTATCCTTGTGTCGGACGTTGAGAAAATGTTCCGGCAAATCCTCATTTATCTACTGGAACGGGCATCAACTAACTTTTTTTTTTCAACAACATTCTGCAAAATGATGTATAGAGCTTTTGTAGGTTTTGTTATTAGCTATAACTTTTGTTGCCTCTAACTTTTTTTTCAACAACATTCTGCAAAATGATGTATAGAGCTTTTGTAGGTTTTGTTATTAGCTACAAATTTTGTTAACAAGTCAAATCCGTATCTCTTATGCATGTATTTTACATTCACTGAAAAACAGTAGCAAGTTCTGCCCGCTCTAGTTCGTGATGCATAAGAGATACAGATTTGAGTAATGAGCAAAACTTGTAGCTAATAACAAAACCTACAAAGCTTTATACATCAATGCTGTTGATGAAAAAAGTTAGAGGCAAATGAATGTAAATGAATGTATGAAATGAATGCAAATGATTTTCCATGCCATGTCATGCCAAGTTTAACACGGTGATGTATGGCACGAAATCGTCACCTTTTCTTACTACTAGAAAGCTTCCACAACGGCTTTGGACGAGTAGGGTGTGGACGACGAAGAAACAGCAATGACCTTCCGGGTACAGTTGAATTCAATGATGTCAGGTGGTGGTTTTAAGCTGCGCATCGAACTATCCGGTAGTGCTGGAAGGATGTCCTGAGGAAGATTGCCTTGGACCCAGATCACTTGATCAAAATACTGGGGTTGACTTGGATGCCCTGCACAGATACACTCAGGTTTCATTTTTCAATTCCAAGCTTCAATAGTCAATACTGACACACCACTGATCAAACGATATGTCCTGTCAGTGATTGTCACTCTGTTTGACCCTCTGCGGTAACATCGGCAACAATATTCATGCAACAGTTGTGGGCACTATGTGAGAGAGATAATCAAGAGATCTGCCACTACCTTCAACGGTAGGAAAATGTCAAGAACAGCTTCTGCTATTCAATCAAGTACGCATTGATCGCTGCGTCATCATTCCGAAGACTGTCTCAACGGAGATCCACTGTTTTTTGGATGCCTTGCAGAATGCTGTATGTATGTATGCATGTATGTCTCTACATCAGGAGCCAGAATGTCGACTTCTTACATCCAAGTCAAGAGTGGCGTCGTTGAACTGGCAAATTATTCCAAGACTGCAACTGTGTTGCATAACGATCCGGTTCAAGGGAAAGTCGTACTGCTAGACAGATTCTACCCACGTTCTGTGTTATACATAGGCTTCTTCAGTGAATTGGACAACCTTAATCGCAAACAGAGTGTCAACAATACAGTCCATTACCCAGTAATCTCAGTGGCGACAGATATACATAACTTGAACATCGGCCGGTGTAACATCAATTGTATCATTCAGGGTGCGCCAGAACTACCTGAATATCTATGAAACAGCTGTGAGGCTACCTATAAACTACGTAGCTAGTATAGGAGGGAGGTGGTTGACAAGTGTCAACAATTCATGCATATATTTTTTAATTCGCCTGTCTACGCCAGAATGAATTTCTAAGGTAGTAAAAATTAGGTGCATTTCACAGGAAAATTAACAATGCAGAAATTAAATAAATTAATAAATAAAACAATAATTTAATGCTGCATACAGTAACATTTTACAGAATTTTTTAGAACAAGCTATTCTATGATTCTAGATCTCACTCTCTCACTCAAGCATCCTGCGATGCAAAAGGCCAACGTGGATGACTTTTTTAAATAAGAAATAATCTTCTATAAACAATTTGAAAAACTGATATCGTTAAAGTGAAGCGTGCCAAATTGCACCATGCAATATCTACCTGTAAAATGACGTCTACTAATTGGAATATCGCTACCAGGTTTTGATTTGACCCATCTATTTTAATAACACTGATCACACATGTTTACGCCCTCGCAATCGCACATGGAATTACTCACAAGGGAAGAGCATGCAGCTGAAGTTTTGTCCGCTAGGAAAGTTTACTTGTCACGATCACTCGTGCATTTCGATTATAGGACGTTGCGATGGAAAAGTAGACTGCCCTAGGGACAGAGCCGACGAGGAAGAATGTCGTAGGTTTTCCAACTAACAACTAACAATTCGTTCAGCAGTATTAAACTTATTTTTAACGATTCATTTTTTCAACAATCACTCTTCTTGCTACTACTAATCGTCCATTCACTGCTGCTGTGTGGCTCACTTTGTAACATCGAAAAAAGCATGTCCCAGAAATACCTGGCAGTGTGATTACGGACAGTGTATACCGCTGGAGCAGAAATGCGACGGGAACATCGATTGTCCCGATGATATATCCGACGAGCGCAACTGTCCCAGTAAGCTGTAAAACATGAAAATAACACAAAAGACTGCATGATTTTTCATTTGGATATTGTGCATCTAGTAGACATGGCTAGTATAACACCAGTTTAATAATTCGTGTTATTTCTTTTTGCCAGTAGAATAACATTTTGCATGAAATTTTCTAGTAACTAGACTCGTAGCTAAAAAGTCCAAGCAAATTTGATGGCTTTAACAACAAGTGAGTATTTGTTTCCAAAATTTCTTCAACAAAGTGAAATTATACAGCAGCGTTAATTGACACGTGTGCCATTGCTATGTTCGACTGGAATGTACCTTTTCGCAGCAAGGGCATTGAGCTCATTTCCATGTCACGTTCTTATGCAAATAAGATGTTTCTGTGCTACTGAGAGACGACTGTCATCGCTTGCTAATCTTTATTTTTAGTTTCTTTAGTATATTGGTCATTGTGGCCAGTCATTAATTATTGATTTTAGAAGCACATCGTTCATAGCTCGTGAATCTATAGTTTACACGTAGTACAGGAGATTACTTCAACAAATTACGTAATAACGGTTCTTAAGACCCTACGCAGCTAAAAAGCTATAAATGCATGTCAATGTCTAGATGATGATGTATTGATGTCCAAAACGGTGAAAATAAAACATGAAAGCGTAAATCTATTCCAAGCGCAGATGCCTTTTGTCATCCAAAAATTCAACTGTAAGTATCTAACATCGCTTCTAGGTGACGAATGTGGTGTGCATGAATTCCAATGTCTCTTGGATAGAGTTTGCATTCCTATGGAGTACCGCTGTAACAGCCGACTGGATTGCTTTGATGGATCTGACGAGAAAGGTTGCGGTAAGTTCGTCGACAAATTAGCTGCTCTTTTGTTGCCAACCGCTATGTTTGTGTTATGTCTTGTGATTGCAGACAGTTCTTTTTCATAAATGCTTTAGGCCGCGGCCAGAGTAGACGGGACACGCGAAGCGACGCGGCCAATTCAGAAGATTTTTATTATTTATTATTATTTCTTGCGTGAGTCGCATCACGTCGCGCTGCGTGTCGCGTCTACTCTGACCGCGGCCTTACGGTTTGAGCAGAAAAGTAATCTTTCAGCTATTCCTCAAACGCAATTGACCTGACTGTGATACATAGATTTGATAATCATATTTAGAAAGATAATGATCATGGCAACACCATGCTGGCGTAGACTGATGCAAAATTTGAAATGTTCACTGCACAGAACTCAAGCGCTTAGCCTCTAAAAATATTAACTTATTAACTAGAAACTGACTGTGTTCAAACCGTTTGAAGGTTGTATGAAAATTACTATGGGAAAACCAGCTTTTCGGTTATTACCTTCTAGCGTTTTCCATATTATTTTGAGAAAAAATTCGATAACTCTCCATGTAGAAAATTTCCACGGCTACAACTTTGCTGAAGATCGTCTTTCAGCCTCATGGCAATCTTATGACATGATCAAGAAACTGCTTTGCAGGCAACACTTATTTATGCAGAGTGACAAAGTAGCCATGATTTTGTCCTTTATTCCGCACACCAGAAACACCAATTTTGCCTGCTAAGCAGTTGATTATGCATGATCATAGACATCAGCTTCTAATCATACAACGTGTGGCGAAATTTTGCTACCCATGACATTTAAACGAACATTAAGATTTTCATATTCACGATGAGGATGATAGAATTATTTCTGAGAAACACTTAATAAAGTGTCCATGAAATAATATCGTATTCACTCATGTGGGAACTGCAGAGTGCTTTTTAAGCCGATTAGAGTTGTTTGTTTACATCTCATTTAGCCAGGGTAGCAAGATTTTGTCAGGCGTACTATGATTAAAATTAGTGTTGCAAGTTGCATGCAAGCTGATCACCGAACAATTTCGTAAAAATTTAAAATTTTACAACAGGCTAAATTAGACATAAAATTATAGACGTACCGATGTGAGTCTGACGTATAAAAAACTGTTATCGGTGTATCCAAAAGGTCAGCAGCATTTTAGTCGAAATTCATTGTAAGTAATCTTGCCAGTCTGAAACTTGATTGAAATCCATAATATCAGGTTTTAATAAAAAAAAAAATGGTTGTATTATGCATACAAATGAGAAGTTGAAAACTAACATTGAAGTGATTTTTGTTTTCAAGGGGCAAGACAACTTAGATTTATTTTAAAATATCATCAAATACTTCTAAATGTCTACGAAAATATCAAGCATTTTCAAAACCTAATGCATGTAAAAAGTAGAGCTTTTTTTGCTGAACAATGATTGTTTTACGGATACTTTTGATTTTAAGTGTAAGTCAATAAAATTTATATATTAAACAATATTTTGATATACTCAGCCACTCCTTGAATTTTTCTAACTTCCATAGTGTCAGCTACTGAAATGAACATGTGGTAGGGATTTCATAAATGTAAAGGATGGCTTCAAACGTAAATTAATCTTCAAGAGATTGGTTCCGTTTTACGGATAAAGAAGAAGTTCCATAGCAGCTGCCAAATAAACGAGACTTCAAAGAATCGCCATAACACATGCTTTAAGTTTGTCAATGCTGGCTATGTTTTTTTCAGTATTTAGCTCATTTTTATACTTCATAAAACTTAGACAGCTGCGGTAGAACTCTACGATAGCCACCGAACGGAAATTTTTCTTAAGATCCGCAATAGCTCGTAACTAACACCACCATGAACTCATATCAAAGTTCTTGTAGAATTTTCCTCAACATTTCCTTTTTTGATGACTGAATGCCATATTTAGTTATTTAAATGGTATTTTAATACCAATCCAATAAATATTTTTGGTGTTAGATTCATAATTCCGAAAAATAGTATTTTAGCGGAAATGAGAATTTACAAACTTGTTTCTTACAAGTATATTTATCACACTCATTCTCAGAGCGATATGGTAAAAGACTTGAACGTAGGGAAACCAAATGAGCTCAAATATTGAGAGAATGATCAGGATCTGATTTTAAATCGCTGGATCAAAACCTATGTTTTGGACCAGCCCAATATGCAAAGCTTGTTAAAAGCTGAAGCATTTTGTTTTAGCAGCATTAGGTAATTTATGCCTGTAGAAGCTGTTCTACAACTAAATTTTTTAGTTAGAAACGATTTGACGATATCTGCAAAAGTTGACGATCAGTAAGGTAGGTAGGTTGAATGTTTTTGTAAGTTTTCTTATTTTTAAGTCTGCATGTATTCAGCTTTGACGCTTTCAGTGTTTTTTTATTGGCTTATTCGTAGTTATTTACAATAATTCTTCATTTCTACACATCTAAAATATCTGACAACAACAAAAACTTCTACTACTACTACTACATCTGCATGGTAATGTATTAACCGTTATTGGACAATTATTGATGAACTTCTGACTGTCCATCCTAACAACTGCATGGTTCTGGCACGACAACAGAATCTTGTAAGGAAGATGATTTCCACTGCGACAATGGCCACTGCATTCCCATGAGCCAAAGATGCGATCGCTTTCATCAGTGCAGCGATGGCAGTGACGAGAAGGGTTGTAAAAGTAGGCTGTGTTTATTTTTACCTATGTTTAATTTTCTTGATCACATTTTTAGTCATCCAATCATGTTTGCATCGGGCTTGTTTTGTTTCATATTTAAATTAAATGGTTTGTTTTTTTTTTCTTTTTTTTTTTATTTGTAGCGGAAACATGTAGCACTCAAGAATTCACCTGCCTAAGTGGTGAATGCATCAATGATCGTGATTACTGCAATGGTATCGCGGATTGTGATGATGGTTCCGATGAACGTGACTGCCCTCGGAAGTGCGATGACCGTTATGAGGTTTTATTTCTGAATCATTTTGAGTTTTGTATTTAATTTATGTATTATCTTTCTTTCATATTTCACAATCATTCTTTAGTTCACATGCTCAGATGGGTCTTGTATAGCAAAAGAAAATCATTGTAATGATAACGACGACTGTCCTGATGGCAGTGACGAGATCGGCTGTGGTAAGTAGTGAAACAGAGGAATGTTCAAAACTTCATGCCTTTTGCGTGTTTGTGTTGTCGAAGCATCAGTACCGTCCATTTTAAGATGTAGTTTGTAAAAAAAATCGACTTTTTCACATTTATGTTGCATTGTATGAGCTTCATTATCATGTTTTATCTTTATTTCTTAAATGTAAACTTTATTGTTTGCTCTGTGTCGTCCGCCTGTAAGTCGTATTGAAATGTATAGTATATGTTGAGTGGTTGTTATAAATTTCATTTTTAAACGTATTTTATGCATATGCACATTTTTCAACTTTCCCATGCAAACACATTCTATCAAAACCACTTCAAAGTTGATACAGCTAAATTTAACATAAAATTCAAAAATATTAGTGACTAATACAACAACCACGATCATCATCTTTGAATAATAATGATCTACCTTGTGACATAAAAAAAACTATAAACGACAGCTCAACAACGTACTATGACTATCTGGCTAATATGCATGGAGACGTAAGGATTTCGTTCAGCTAGTTTATTCAGTACTTCACCACATGTCCAAAACAGAAAAAAATATGAACCTAATTAATCGTCCTTTTGTCCATTCTAAGCACCGTCGCTTTTATCATACAAACGAAAATGCTTTGATGATGTGATTTCTCTTAATAAATGTAGCTCATAATTTGATACCTTAACCTTAAGATACACAAATTGTTTGCCTAAGGTCAAATGAAAAAGTATTTATCGAAAAACAACTGAGCAGCAAAAACTCTCAAAAACTCTTACGCCTCCATGCACCAAGCAACGGAACTGAATGCTCGATCAAATAACATTGCAATCAAAATACATCGCCCCAGACCTAAATAGATCAATTAATTTTTATACCACCCAGACGATAACTCGCATTTAAAATCATTGGATCATCATCACAATCGTGCTAGCGCTACTCATCATCCACACCATGGCCAACATCAGCCGGCTCACGGCAATCGCTGCGGACGCGACAATTTCCAGTGTCACGATGGCATATGTATAGCAGGCTACAAAAAGTGCAATGGAATTGTTGACTGTCACGACGAGTCCGACGAACTCGATTGTCCATACGGTATTCCATTCGTACTCATAGGTCCAAACCAGCCGACTCTAAGAATAAGCTTTCATTCAACTTACAAGAAATACCTTTCGGCCACTATGTTTTGGCTTGAACCACACCAGTAAAGCCTATTCTTAGAAGGTTACTTGGTTTATTTGGGGTCCATTCATTCAAAATTGCTGCAAGCTTTGACTGTTTGTGTTAAAACAGCTGTAAATTGGCTTTTCGATTGACAAGCATAATCCATTGACCTCAAGAAAGATACGAGGAGACATTGTTTATTTGCACTGGCTTTGATATAACTCACGACTTTTTTTATTGGTTGCCCAATCGTTCCATATTACAAACAAACAAACAAATGACAATCTGCAGCTAACGAAGATGATGATGAAATCTGCAGCAGTGATGAATTTTACTGCGATGGTAGATGTTTGGATAACAGCTTCCGCTGTGATGGTAGAATTGATTGTCAGAACGCAGAAGACGAGGATGACTGCGAAATTGCTGGTAAAGTTTTAATGCGCTTTATATGTAATGACTAATGAAACTAAACTTCACTAAATCTGCCAAATACTACACACTTAGAAATAAATAATTTTACACGTGATGGAATCCATCTCTGACATAAAGGATCAGACGTAAACAAATATTTCATGTAAAATTAAGTGCTCGGAGACTGAAAAGTTCGTAACTCGACGAAAAGTACGTTTGATTTAGTTGAATTTCGCGTCTGTTAGGACTCAATTTTATGTCAAAATTGACGCTCGTATATGTCAGTCTCAGAGCACCTACATTTACATAATTATTTCTTAGTGTGTAGAAAATAAGAACACATAATTTTAGTACGTAGCTTTACTAAAACATGGCTAATGATCTATAAAAAAAACTAAATGAATCATAAAGCATTTTTCAACAATCTATATTCTGCAGTTATCATTCGCTGGTTTGGACGGTTTTGAAGCAATCAAGCTTTGTATAAAGAGAAAGAGAAGAGTTAGTCATTTCCATTTAATTCCACTACCTTATTGGCGTATCCTTGACAGATACGCGTATTTCGTCTACAATGTGCAGACTTCTTCAGTGTCTTGTACTAATACTCGACTTAGTACAAGACACTGATACAAGGATAAGCAAATAAGGTAGTGCAATTAAATGGAAATTACTAATCCTCCCCCTAATAAAAATTTACCATACAAAAACAATAGAAGCTATTGTTACAATACAATAAAACCTTTTGTTCAATCAATAAATGTTATTGTCAAAAATAATAAAAAAATACAATAGAACTTATTGTTATGTACAATACAATCTTTTGTTAATGGGACACTTACAATAGAAAAGGGGGGGTTGTTAGTTACCGTAACCTTGAAATAATCTTTTTTTTTTTCGAACAAATTTAATCTCATTACAATAAATTTTATTGTTTTTTATTGTGCAAAATTTTGATTTCATAGAATTTGTTGTAAACCTATTGTGGTGACTATTTCATTATTTGACCAATACAATAGAATTACAATAAGATTGATTGTCAACAATCGAACCTATTGTATTTTATTGATATTTTATTGTAATTTTATGGTTACTTTTATCCGGGCCTCTTTTTCTTTATACAGGTATTCCACTAAGACGTCCACATTCATCAGGTTTAATCAAGCTTTGGTTTTCATACAAAACAGCTCACTAGATTTTTTCCAAGTATCACCAATAAAATGCCATGGCTAATTTTCAAAATTTTCTAGAAAACCCTTAAGCGAATGATGTCTATATTTATTTGCTAACCCTTTCGGGATGCTTGGGTAGTCTATACCCACCTTCTATGAAAAAAAATTCAAATGAAGGTGATTGACAGACACATACTTTCATCAGCAAAGTTGTACGGTTGGATACAATAAAAGAACAAGTTTATAGCCAGATTTATAAATAAATATCCAATTCACTATGAGCACGGAATTCAATCTACCGGGGCAAAATTAATAGCTCCGAAACGAAGCATTTATGTGACTTGTTGTCTTAGAAAAGTTTCTCATCATAAGCATAGCTGGCTCCAAAATCTAACCTACTCTGACATTCCGGAGGATCGGCGGCTTGGACAAAGTAGTTTATCTTCTAAAAATAAACAAATCTTCTCAAGCTGTCAAATTCCCCAGCCTACTGTTTCCGGGTTATCTGGAAAACATAATAATATGTTTTTGAAAATCCTGTTTTTCAATCTGTTTCGATATTTTCATGAACAATCTAAAAAATTTGTTCCACATCATATTTTTGCTATCGTGGAGTTCTTGTAGATGAAGATCTTCCCTGTTTTCTTCATGACTACAATAGAGTGGGTCAACTGCAAGACAACAATATGGTGGGTCAACTGCTCCCTGCTGCTGTTTAGATCTGTATTGAGGTGCCAATTTTGAAATAAATTTGTTATGATCTGAATTTGCGGTAGAACTTTAAAATTTGCAAGGTGAAAATTTATTTTTCTAGTCTCGTATGGGAAACGGAACGAAACAATTTTCTTGTCAAAAACTGAAAAATTGTCCAATTTTGACCATATTTGACACTTACATTGGGATACTATGCAGAACATCTTGGTCGAAGATCATAATTTAATTCAATAAGAGCTTCAAAATTGTATGTAGTTTTTTGCAAGCGATTTTTTGAAGCCTTGTTATATATTTGACACCTGCGGTTGAACTTCTGCTTCTTCTTCTTGGAATTAATCCGGAAATAAATCTCTGGAAGAGCAATAATCAGGACCATTTTTTGGTATAATCAGATTATGCAAAACGCATCCGCCTAGATGGTGCCAAAACCTAGCTATTTTCTATAACATTCTTCCGGAGTGATTCATGACTTGGGCGTAATTAGTTTTGTAAACAAACACGTAAATCACCGATTGCACGTAACTCACTCTGGACTTGACGTCTTGAACAAAGTTATTTATCTAAAAAAAAACAACTCTTCTGAATATGTTAAAATTCCACAGCTATAATACATTGATTTATCATTTTTACTTTTACTGAGGAATACACTGTCATAGTGCGCCAGGAATGCAATTTTGTTGGACAAAATTAATAACTCCACAACGAAGCATTTCCGTGTTTGTTGTCATATAAATTTTTAATTTTTTTGTTATAATAATATACCATCTATTGACAAAAACAGATAGTTGAAAAATCCTAACCTTTCACTCCTGAAATTTTGAAGAGTGGACTATTCTGAAGTTGTCAAAATACCACAACCTATTATTTCCGAATTATTTCGAAAACATACAAAGAAATGTTGAAAAAACTGTTTTCTCAAAAATTTTGGTATTTTTATTAACAACAATGATTTTTTTATAAATATTGATGAAAACGTTCTAAAAATTAATAGATCTTTCACTAAGGAATAAACTTCCAGTAACGCCTGGCAGATTACCTTTTCGTGGTACGTTACTGGCATTAAGATTTAAGAGGAACAGGATTGTTTTTGTAATCAAAGGAACACATGTTAGTCCTTTTTACTTGTTATGCCTTGTTGATAGTGACAAGACTCGGCTTTGTCCACCAAGGATAACCTTGAAACAAGGAAAAAAATAGATAGGTAGTTATTTATGATCTTTTCTTCGTTGTTCTCTTTGTTTGAAGTGGTTAAGACTAAGATTCTAATGCATCGATGTTATGGCTTGATTTTGTTGTGAAGGAATCCATTTTTGACTGACAAAGGGGAGCGCCTTTGGGGGAAGTTCTACCGCAGGTGTCAAATATATATAACGAGGCTTCAAAGAATCGCCTGTAAAAAACTTCAAGTTTGTCTATGCAGAATTAGTTTTTTTTTGTGTTCAGCTTATTTTCATAATGGCGGTAGAGCTAAGACAGCAACGGTTGATCTCTACGGTAGTCACCGGACAGAAATTTTTATTAAGATCCGCAATATAATAGGTAAATTCACTGAAGACACCAAGTGACGCAAAAGCTTCGTTTTTGCCGTTATCAATATTGTTCCACTAGATTACATTCCTGGCCCATAGTACAATGAAGTATATTTAATGATTTTACAGATTTGTTATCTGATAATCATATTATTTAGTCTATCCAAAAGATTCTTGAGTTTATATCTGAAAATTTGCATGATCAGCAAAGACTTCAATGATACTCTCACTATCGAAATATATAGGCAAGTATTTTTCGAAAAATTTTAACAAGAAACCAACAATATTCATTTGTACTGTCCATGTACATGTTCTACGAAAAAATGATGAAAAGAAGATTTTAATTGCTGGACCTAATCTTTAGATCCAGCAGGCAAACATTAGCTATTCCTCTAGGATAAGTTTCCTAGACTAAAATATAGTTTAGAATCTCCAAACTGTTCAAGACTATGATTTACTAGATCAACATGGGTTTGTACGATGTCCTGGTCCTCAGCAACTCAGTCAAAATAGGTTCATGGATTATGCACATAATTTACTATCTATTTCCATGTAGTGTAAATGTTCTAATTTTGACCAAAGTGTCCCTAATATTGAGTCCATACTTAACTGCGACTGTATCAATGTCCTTAGCAACGAAACATATCTAAATAGATTCATGGAACTATGCGCATCATTTACGATACATGTCTTTTGCATATAAGATGTCTAAGGTTCTCCAAATTGTCCTGGATTATAGATCGATCAATTCACAAGTGCAACCACGACTGAGTCAATATCCCTAGCAGTGAAATATGTCCATGCTGATTCATTGAGCCAATGAGCATAATTTACAATCCATTTCCTTGTGGATATGATAATCTAGGTTTCTCAAATCGTGGAGTTCAGATCAAATTGAAACTAAAATTCAACTAGAAATACCACGACTGGATCAACATCTTTAGCAACGAATCATGCCACTGCACACTAGATTGATGCAAAATTTGACATTTTCACTTCACAGTGCTCAAACGGTTCCAAATGTCAGCCCAAAGTATGTACCTGCAGAAAGATGTTCTGCATAGTTTTCCCAATGTAAGTGTCAGATCTAAACAGCAGCAGGGAGCAGGGAGCAGGGAGCAGTTGACCCACCATATTGTTGTCTTGCAGTTGACCCACTCTATTGTAGTCATGAAGAAAAACAGGGAAGATCTTCATCTATAAGAACTC